CGGATCTTCGTTCCCTCAGGGGAGAAGGTCAGGACCTTTAGTGTGGGTCTGTTCCCTGAGAGGTCCTGGCCATCTGCTGCTTCATTTGGCTTCAGCAGCAAATGAGGGTCTTGAGCACTTCCAAAAGCCTCCTCTTGTAAGTGTTTGCTCTTCAGTAAACCATACTTACAGAATTAATCCTCTTGAGATCAAAGGAGCCAGACCTTTTTCACTCAAGTATTTGATAAACTAATGTACCTTGATAGTGTAAGGTCACTGAATTCTCATTGAATTTGGTTACAGTTTGTCAGAGTAAGAATTGGCCATTATCAACCTGGAAAAGGCTCTCAAGCAACATGATAGCCCACATGTATTATTTTCCAATTTTTCCAATACCTCATGTCCGCTCCATTTTTGAGAGCGTTGTTTACACTGCTGTGGGCCTCATAAACAAATTGCCATTTACTGAAAGCATTCTTTTATGAGCGAATGGAACTCGTGATTTCCTGTAATAGCCAAGTGCAGCAATAGAAGGCTCTGACTTTTATCAGCTCAGTTGTTGCTGACCCGTGAGTGGGAGCCAGCAGAGGCTCAGTGTGGCACTGCAGAGTGCCCAGAAATGCCACCCTGCCCCTCTCATTCTCTGCCCAAACACACAGGGCAGGCTCTTCAGCTTGGTTAGCAACGCTAATCCTTCTCAGTAATGAATAATTTTGTTTATTTAAGTTAAATATGAACCACTTGTGCTGTTGCTGCTGCCATAATGTTAGTCAGAGTATCGTTCCATTAATTCAATAATTCACGCTGGGCTCAGACAAATTCAATTCATTGTTATTTCAGTGCCAGGTGATTTTGTGGTGCTGGGTAAAACCTCTCTCATCAGAGCTGGACCCTGACAGAGATCTGTTATTTTGTACAAATAACAGCAGCTCCTTTTCATGGCTGTGTGTATGTGGAAAGCTCTGGGACTGAGCAGCGCTTTCCTGTCCTGATAACTCCTTTATTCTGGGGTTGGCTGGAGCTAAGTTGGCTTTCTGTGGAATGGATTTTCCATTCTGTGCTCAGATTCCAGACTGGGATCCCAACCACAGCTCCCAGCTGGGTGTGGGATGGGGACTGGGCTGTGGCAAAGCTTGGCTGGGCTGTGTGGGACCTGCTGAAAATGCATCAGACAGGTGTGAGGGCAGACAGCAGGAGACTGGGCAGAAATCCCAAGGATTTGGGCGTTTTTCCAGCCCCTGTAGAGACAGGGTTGTGAAGGTAGGCAAATAGGATTCTAAATCACCATTTGAAGAAGAGGACCTACTTACAGGAGTTTGTGAGAGGAAATAAATCCAAAAAGACCCATGGGGTTTTTTTTTTCCCTCCTCTCACCAGAGAGAAAAATGTGTAATGAATGTCTCATGTCTGAAACACTGGGCTGGATTCATCAAAGGGAGTTAGTAATTACCAAATTGAGAGAATCATGAAGCGCTTTTCTAAATTTGAAAGGCTCATCAAGAATAGATCAGGAGCAGGCAAAATTAATAGTTAGGAACTCATTTCCATAGAAATGGACTTATTAGCAAGCATGCCAGCTGCCTAAAATTATAAGGTCTTTTCCTTGTGCTTGCAGGAAATAATCTTTTTTTATAAAAGTAATTTTGACTTTATTTTTTATTGCTTCTCTAAACTGGAGTTTGGCAAAATCCTAAACCAGGAAAAAACTTCACTGGACAATAGAAATATTTAACTAAAAAGAGAGAAAAGATTTGCAAGGGAGAAGTGATTTATAGCCCTTGGATTCCATCAGACTCTCCCCAAGAGTGCAAACTTATTTAAGAGAAAAATGAAATAAGTCTCCAGGAAAAGCTGAAAAAATCTTGATAGGATAAAGTTTGGTTTAACAGGATTTAATGGCTGATAACAGCATGAGTTACAGTCCTTGTCTTCTCTGCTTGTGGATTTTCCCACTGCTGGCATTTTGTCTTCACCAGGCAGCTGCAGATGGACAGTGGCCACCAAGAGCAAGGTTCTGCCCCCAGTGACAAATCAGACAAAAAGCTGAAGGTTTGCCCTGGCAGGGGGGAGCAGCTGCTTTTAAAGAGCCTTTCAGTGGTATGCTGCACAGCCAGGAGAGAAATTGAAATGCAGGTGTTGGGATGGGAATTTATCAGCTAATGGAGCTGACATAAGTAAATGCTGACATTTGAGGTCTTGATTATGGTTTAATTTATCTCTGGTTTTACTTTAGCAGCCTCCATCAATTTCAGTAGAAAAAGGCAGTGGTCTCCCACACGGTATTACAGGGGATGGTTAATAAATTGCAAGAATTATGAATGTAATACCAGCCTTTCTACCAGGAAACCTCTGTAGGATAAGAGATGCAGCAGCCAGTAGGTGAGCACTAGTCTGAACATGAAAGAAATTCACTTTTCAGGTTTTATCATGAGTTTGTTCCAGTTGTAACCTGGGAAGAAGCTTAGAACAAAGAGGGTGAATTCATCCGTGGGGTATCTGTGTCCCAGATACCACAGCAGCATTGCTCCAAGGCTCAATCTCTAAAGAGGACAAAAAAGACCATAATTTTAGAGGAAATTCATCCACCTGCTGGGGAATACGAGTGCAGAAAGCTGAATCCTGGTTTGCCAAAGCTGTGCACTCCAGGGAGGCTCCACAGGTGAGAGATGGTTCAAGGCCATCTCTTGCAGCAGAAGCCCAAGAGAGAAGTGGAACCTTCTTTAATCAATATTCATGTGTCATGCTGCATAATGGGCTACTGAGACAAAGCAGAAACCTCTGACAAACATTTGGAGTTCTTTTTCCAGGTGGTGCTAAGGATTCTCTTTGGAACCAGGATCGAGACCTGGGAGGGAGGACAGCTTTGTTTTCATTCACCTGTTAATGCAGCTTTGTTTGAATTCACCTGTTAATTTGAATTCACCTGTTAATGTAGCCTTAATTCAGCTGTTAATGCAGCTTTGTTTGAATTCACCTGTTAATGCAGCTTTGTTTTCATTCACCTGTTAGTGCAGCTTTGTTTGAATTCACCTGTTCATGTAGCTGCACCTGAGGAAGGTTTATATACAAGATACAAACCCCCTGTTGTGGTTTCTTTCTGGATGTGTAAAAGGAAAACCAGGAAAGCAATAACTGAAGGCGTGGTGGGCTGAACTCAAATGCCAGTCAGTGGGACCCATGGAATGGATTGGTCACTGCAGACCAACCTGACCTAGTATTTAATTGGTGTCTCTGTACCCAAACCCTCCACTGCTGGTTTTGTTCTCAATTTGAAACCACTCCTGGGTGGTTTTGTGACTGGCAGCTATTGGCCTGAACAGACTGAGGTGAAATTGCAGACCTAAACATACCTTGGCAGGCCCAGTCTCTAAATCCATAGTCAGTGGAAAGCTCAATCTGAATTTTAGTTCTGTGTTGTGAGCATATTAATTTTATGCAATTTAGATAAAACAAACTGCTGGAGGTGATACACAAAAAACAATGAAGTTCAGTTTATGTTTTTAACAGAAATGGTTTAATTACATCCCTATTATTATGTAATAAAATTTATCTTAAAAGGTTTTTGCTGGTTGTCTGCTTGGCCATACAAAAGATGCCTTAATAGCTTCTAGTTTTGCCTGGAGGTGGATATTATCTTCTGTCAGCATGGAAAATATTTATCCTCCAGGCATTGAAGCATATGTTTAGGTTGTTTGTTGTCAGAAAGAAAACATGAAAATCAATAATTCTTGCTCAGATTTTTTCCCCCCTTTACAATTCTCCTTCAGAAACATATGGCAAACCCAGATTCTGCCTCTGTGCATTTGGGGAGAGGAAAAGGATGTTTTAAGTCTCTGTTTGCAGCAGCAGCTAAAACTTCAGTGAGCACAGCTCCTGGAATGCCTGCTTTGGGGAAGGACACACAGACAATGAATGTACCACTGGCCTAACATACAGCAAATTCAGATTTTGCCCCAAAACTTGAGCAGTATTGGTAAAATCAGGTGTTTCTCCAGCAGAAGCAGCAGCTGGCCCTGCAGGCAGAGCCCTTCCATCCCCTCTCCATGCTTGTGACCTCCATCAGCTCTCCACACTGCAGGGTCTGGCTGGGAGTCTGGGCAGGGAACTTGTATTCTTTGTAAATATTTGTGGGTAAACTTTGTATGATTTGTAGAACTCAGTTTGTGGGGAAGTTTGGATGAGCAAAGGTCTGTTTTCTAAACAGATCCCTGCTGTGGATGCGCTGAGTGCTGTTGGTTAAAGCTTGGTGTCTGTTTGCTTCTCTGTAACACAAAACAAGATCTGCTTTTCTAACCTGAGGATTAATTATTAATATTTACATAGCTTTGGACCTGAGGAAAGTGATAAGAGTTGTTGTTGAGAAAGGAAGCAGAAGTAATTCTTAAATTCATTTCTGACTGCTGTGCATTTACAGCCATTTCTTTACTTTTAAACTTTTATTTCCAGATGAGAAATATACGATTGCCATATAATTACAAGTCTGCACCACTGACGAGGAGAATGTTGTCATGAATTCAAAATAGGGATAATCTACCCCTCATTTATTGTCATGTATAATTTCTGCAAATCCATTTTTTCACTGAGATAAAGACCAGTTTGGGTTTGAAAGACTTTTTTTCCCTCCACAAGAGCTCATTTCTGGTAGAACATGAGGAATGGCCAAGTATTCTGTTGTTTTGCAGCATCAAAATTATAATAATGTTGTATTAAATAATTTAGCAACTTCTGTGCACTGCTTTTCCAAGGGTTTGTGGCTTATTCTGTAAGTTCATTGTGATTATGGAGAATGAATGCTTGAGTTTAATGGGAAAAATGCTTCCATTCCAGAAAACTAAAAGATACAGTTTCACCCTAGAAATGTCTGTGCTTGCCCATGTGCAGTTTTATTTAGGTTTCTGTCAGTGTCTCAAGTCTGCACGTTGAATTTAATGGCAGATCTTCTGAGCAGGAAAGAGAAACGAAAATCCATTTTGCTATCAACATCCCAGTGACGTTGTGGGGAACTCTGCCTTGTTTTCCAGAGCAAACACCACCTCCTACGAGATCCTGCAGATGGATTTTGAGATCGACAACGGCAGCAGCCTGGCAGGGGCCCAGCAGATCACCTGGCAGGTGGAATACCCGCGGGACGACTCCGTCAGCGAGCTCGTGGTGTCCGAGATCTTCGTCAGCCGCACCATGTTCACAGAAATCGTTCCCCTTGCCATGGTAAGGCCTGCTGCTCATCCCTTATCTGAATGGTTTTGTGGGAATTGTTCCCCTTGCTATGGTAAGGGCCTGCTGCTGATCCCTATTTTTATGAGAATCATAAATTTAAATTTTTTTGCTGCTGCTCCCTTATCTGAATGGTTTTGTGGGAATTGTTCCCCTTGCTATGGTAAGGGCCTGCTGCTGATCCCTATTTTTGTGGGAATCGTTCCTCTTGCCATGGTAAGGACCTGCTGCTGATCCCTTATCTGAATGTTTTTGTGGGAATTGTTCCCCTTGCCATGGTAAGGGCCTGCTGCTCATCCCTATTTTGATGGGAATTGTTTCCCTTGCCATGGTAAGGGCATGCTGCTGATCCCTATTTTTATGAGAATCATAAATTTAAATTTTTTTTGCTGCTGCTCCCTTATCTGAATGTTTTTGTGGGAATTGATCTCCTTGCCATGGTAAGGGCCTGCTGCTGATCCCTATTTTTATGGGAATTGTTCCCCTTGCCATGGTAAGGCCTGCTGCTGATCCCTGTTTTTGTGGGAATTGTTCCCCTTGCCATGGTAAGGGCCTGCTGCTCATCCCTATTTTGATGGGAATTGTTTCCCTTGCCATGGTAAGGGCATGCTGCTGATCCCTATTTTTATGAGAATCATAAATTTAAATTTTTTTTGCTGCTGCTCCCTTATCTGAATGTTTTTGTGGGAATTGATCTCCTTGCCATGGTAAGGGCCTGCTGCTGATCCCTATTTTTATGGGAATTGTTCCTCTTGCCATGGTAAGATCCTGCCCCTGCTCCCTTTTCTGAAAGTTTTTGTGGGAATCATTCCCCTTGCCATGGTAAGAACTTGCCCCTGCTCCCTTTTCTGAATATTTTTGTAGGAATTGTTCCCCTTGCCATGCTAAGAACCTGTTCCTGCTCCCTTTTGCTCAATGTTTCCGTCGATCCTCGTTAGTATTCCAGGAATGGGAGCCTTTTTATTATAAGCTGCTTCCTATGCACCTGCTGCAAGTGATTTAAATGCAAAAAATACATTTCAATAATATTTTATTTACCTGATGTGCCGTAATGGCTCCTTGGAAACCATTTGGGCCTTTTGTGAAAATCCTTTCCCGTTTGTGGGTTATTGGCCTGCTACATGGAAATAGCTCCTCTGGAGCCCTTGTCTTCTCTGAGTGAATGGGGCTGCCAGGGCTGTGCTCTGAGGGTCACTGCTGTCATTAGTGGGGACGTTTTCAGTGGAATAAATTAGCATTGCACGTGTGGGAAAGTTCATTGCTAAGCCAAACAACTGGGCTGTTCGCTGCTCTGCTTTTCCCCAAAAGAGCCAAATAGTCCAGTGAGCTGCAAAGGGCCAATTTAACAGAAGGCCTGGCTTGAGTTGCACAGAAAGGAGAAAATATTTCCTGAGGATGGAGGTGTCCAGCATTTGAGGTGTATGTGTGCAGAAAGCTTGAAGCTGATGATTTATTTAAAAAATGCAAATATCTCCTGGTAAAATCAGAGGCCAGGAGGAGCCTTTGAACTGTGTTTGGTCCTGATGGACTTTTTAATACCAGAGCTTTACACATGAACAAGGATTTCAGTGGGGAAATTGGGGTGTAAAAGCAGAGAAAGAGCCAGAGAGTCTGGATGTTGCAGCACTTCCATCCTTCAGATGCCACCCACCCTTTTTCGCTTGCTTCCTCATGAACATTTGTCCTTTGTCCTGTAGCTGCAAAAGTATTTTCTACTAAAAAAGCTAAAAGGGATTGGATGAACCTGCTAGCACAGGGGAAATAAAGAAATAAATAAATGCTAATTCCTAAAACTCCGTGCAAATTAACAAATGAGCTTTTCCTTAAGTACTCTATTATTATTTAGTATTTATGTAGTGTTCTATATTTTTGGAACTCTTTGTAGACATTAATTAATCAGACCTGAATAAACTAAGCTTGATAAAAATAGAAAATTAAATGGAAATGAAGTCACTCTTATTTAGTTTTACCTGTTTCTGAATGACTTCTAAGTCCCTTTTTATATTCTTAAAGGTACTTTTAAAACACTTAATCTTACAAAGCTCTTGTTTATTATATCTAAAAACTATTTTGGTTAGAAAAGAGGTAGAATTTATATCTTTAAGAATAAGTGACAGCAGGGATGAGTGGCTTTGAAGACTGTAAATGTTTTTTTGTCACCAAAGTATTGTTTTGTTTAGGTTTTAATTCAGCTGAAAAAGCAGGGATGGGAAGGTTACTTAGAAGCTGGAATATTTTGGCTCCTGGAGGTTTCTTTGAAGGGTAGTGGAAGGAATATTTAGTTTTATCTTAATTTTTTGTCATAATCTCTTGAGATAAAAAGTTGTTGAGAGATTTTAGCTGTGGAAATGGCTCTGAAAGCTGCTGAGGAGGGAAGTTTGGGATCCACCTCAGGTTTCTGGCTACACCATCCTCCTGGTGGGCACAAAGGTTCCTCTGCTCAGTTTCAATTTCCAGGATCCACAGCCAGGGGCAAACATCAGCCCCTCTGCTCCTGCTGGTGATGAACCAAGGTCTCTTCCAACCCAGTGATTCTGTGAATTCTGTGAAAACATCTCTGCTCATTGATTCTTCCAACTCCTGGTGCCCAGATTAACACATGGAACTCACATTTCCCACAGTAAAGGTGATCCATTCCCATCAAACACAGCAGAAGGACAGATCAGGGTGAAGAAAGCACAGCCAGAATCCTTTTTGGTTCCTCTGTTTGTTATGCTGCTGAATATCAGGGGAAAAAATCTGCTATTCTGTCTTCTGTTACCATTGCTGACTCTAAACACAGCAGGTGATTATTTTAAAATGTTTATGGCATTGACATAGGCTGGGAGTTGTGAATCTGGTTGATGTCTGATGCAGCAGAAGGTGTGTTTTAGCATCCAGAAGGTCCAGCAGAACATTCTAAAGTTGGATCTAAACTAGACAGCTTGATTTATCTTAATATAAAAATGTGATATCATAATCTTGCGAAGTGGCAGTGCATGTCCTGCTAATTACAGAAACTGAGAGCACAGATAAATCTGCTCTGTCCAGTGATGATATAATTCTGTAATTCTCAGTTATTGCTCTTGATCTAAGCAGGCATCATCTGCAATTTCCATAGCTGTGGAAAGTTGCTGGTAGCAAGGTCGTCAGTGGAGTCTGGCACTCCTGGGATGCAGGAAACAAACATTGCCCCAGCTTTCAGTCTGTCACCCAGGCTTCTGTCACAAACACCTGTGATTTGATTAATCTGTTACCTAACTAACAGTTGGCAAAAATATAAAGAGAAAAAATTAAAATCCAGGTCTTTTAGAGAGTTTCTAGGCAACCAGGAGCTTAGTTAAAGTAAAGAATTAGACATTGAGGAGATGTATCTTAACTGGTTTATGTAAGAAGGCTCCAGCTGGGGCTGAAGGCTTGAGGAACAATAGATTTAATAATAAATACCTGGCATTGTCTTCTTATCTGGGAAAATGAAGGCTTGGTCTGTGGCTGGCAGCCCTGCTCTTTCAGGTGTCCATGCTGCAAATCCTGTCTCGTGTAGGAATGGCACTGTAAGTCCCAGACTGCATTTTTTAAATTCAGTTTTTTAATTCAATCAATATTTCCCCAGGGCTCTGTGCCCATCAGCCTCAAACATTTCTCCGTTTCCTACAAGTATTTGAACTATGTCTTCAGGAAGTTTGTTTCCTCCCCCAAAATGGGAGCTGTTGGTGCAGTAAAGGTTCCCTGAGGTTGTGAGTTTCTTAGACACATGGCTGTGCTTGCTCTGGTGAGGATTCTTTAAATGGGAGCTTGGAGAATTGCACTTCTGCTTGCTGCCAGACAAGAACACCCACAAAAATTGTCCTTAAAGGTGCCCATTTCTGTAACTCAGGCTGAAACAGGATTGCTGAGTGCAACACGGCTGATTTGTTTGAGCAAAAAAACTTTAAAGAATTTATTTTTCCTACAGAAATCATGGTTTGCTAATGGAATTTATATTCAGACATCAATTAAAGGAGCACACTCACAAGGTGGAAGGTGGCCCAGACTTAGAAAGCAGCTCCCCTGCACCTTAAACTACACCAGGAAATGTCAGTCTTTACCAGCTTTTCCTTTGCTTGCTCTGGGGTTGGTATAAAAACCAAACCCCCTTCATTCTGAAGTATAAAAAAGCCAGGACAGGATCAGTCATTTCTAGCAAACCCAGATGATTTATGTATCTTTCAGAAGTTGGTTAAATGCATTTATGTGCAAAATTGTCCCCTATGTGTTTATCCATTGCACTTAATGCATATTTCTTACTTGAAATCACTTTGACCTTTGGCTTTGCAGCTCCTTTTTAGCAGTGCCTTTCTGTTGTACTTTGCATGCAAAGGAACCTGCCCTGAGTGGGATTTTGTCCTTCCCAACATTCATCATTTCATTAAAAAAAAATAAATGTAAATTCAGTCTAGAGTGGATCTTCATCCCAGAAATATTAGGGATTATCAACATTGTTTTAAAATAAAACTGGAATCTGTGGCTCCCAGATCACAGATTTCAGTGTGAATTTTAACACTGATTAATGGCAGCAGGATTGAAGCCTTGAGCTTTCCTAAAGTCCCACATTGGAAGGATTGATTTTATACTCAGAGCAAATTAACTACTGTGGAGAGAGTACAAAGTAGGAAAAAAGAGATTCTTCTTTTGTATTACTTTATTTCCCATGCCCATAGCAAGTGTTTTATGTCTCTGTAGCAGAGATAAGATCTTGTGCAATTATTACCATCTCCAAATTAATTGTCATAGAGAATTAAATGGTTTTGTTTTGTCAGGCTGCTCCTAAAACCACAGGGTGAATTTTATGGGGAAAGATGAAATTTAAAAAGATTTCTTGGAACACATCAACCAAAACACAAAGCACTGAAGGTTTATTGAGTTTGATCAGGGGAAGGCTTTGACTCTGAAAAACTCTGGGAGGGAAATGTGTGGGAGCAGATGTGAGGAATGTCCTCGTGGGCTTTCACTGGGCAAGGCCAGGGGATTTCAGC